TGCTTTGTCCTTTCATCCTTCAAGTGGACACACCTCATTAGGCTCCTCAAAAATTCTTGTGGGGTTGAGCAACAGCCACCTGTCCGGGGTTGGCTCAATGACTCATGCTGTGTTGCCTTTCCTCCTTTCATGTTTTACACTCACGTCCCTCACTCCTGCCTCCCGGGTCAAACAACCACTCACACATAAGCCTCTGCCTCACACCCTGCACAGGGTGAACCAGGCTAAGAGCTTAACCTTAAATATATGCAGCATAATTATTACCACTTTTCAAGGGAATATAGTTATAAGTATACTATAGTATTCTATACAAAATCCCCAATATAGGGCTGGGCCACATTTTCTTTTCTTTATCTCCAAGATGAAATAATCACTAAGAATTACCTTAAGAAATCTCTTTTACAGTTTACAATGTACCAAGCTCTATCTAAACTAGACTTTAATTACATAAAAATAGGAAAAACAAAATCTTTTTCTTTAAGACACTTGCAGTGTTTTGGCAAACACAGACATCTACGTAAATAATTAAATCACAGTTGAAGTAAGAGCTGTGATAAAGATTTGCACAGGTGGTAAGACTTTTGGAAGAAAACCTTCAGAAAAGGGGAGAATCTAGAATGAAAACCTAGAAACAAGCCAGATAGTAAAATGCAGAGGGATGGTGCCGTGGGGAGGTGTAGATATAGTCTGCCAGAAGTAATAGTATAGTGACACAGAGGCTTAATAACAAAATTCCTGAAAAAAGTAAAAGCAGTTTGGAGTTTATGGAGTATAAATTCCATGCTGGAGGATCGAAGAAGATGAATTTGCAGACACAGGTAGGGATTATGCAATATAGAGACTCAAATGACTTATGAAGGAGACATAACTCATCTTGTAGGTAATGAGAAGCCTATAAAAATGGTAGTTCTAAAATCCTTGTGAGTCAAGGATTATTTTGAGAAGCTGGCTAAAATTAGTGTCTCTCTCTCCAAAAAAGATCACATCCACCCACAACTCTTCATTCCATTCACTGTGAACTATTGTGATTATATACTCGTGTTAAGACCGCTTGCTCACCAATCTAGCCATAATATTCTCATGCTTTATTTTAAAGCAAGATGTCTTAACATTATACTCATAAAATATTTAGAGCAACATGAGTATACCCATGTCTTAACATGAGTATAATGTTAACATGAATATAATGTTAAGACCTCTTGCTCTAAAATATTTAAAATATGAGAAAAATCTGGCTGGATTTGTGTTGATTCCGAAGATGAGTTTGCTTTTGGACATGTTGCCTTTGAGGAGCTTATCTTGCATACAAGTAATATGTCCTATAAGAATTTGGGTATGCCAATCTTGAGCTGATGGTTTAAGATAAAGATTTAAAATTTCTCAACCTATATGAACTTAAAAAAGCTATCAAAGTGGATGAGATGATTCAGGGAGATGATTAGAATTGGAAAAGGAGGGCCTTGGATAGAGCTGAGGGAAAATATAATATTTATGGGTTTACAAAGAGAGAAAGCCTTTAAAAGAGACTGAGAAATGGTAGTCAGATATGCAGGAGAGACAAGGGCCACAGAAGAAAAGCAGTGACTGCCTTAAGAACAAATAGATATGAATACATCTATTTGACCACAAGGTCAAATAAAGACAAGGGCTGCAAATTTCCCATTGTGCAAGGCAATTAGGAGGTCAGGCAGTCGGCATAAGCTGTTTTCTCGTGGTGGAGGCACAAACCAAATTAAAATAGGTTGAGGGGTGAATAAAAACTGTGGATGTAAAGGCATTGAATGAAAAATATGGGAGTTTGGCTCAAAGAGGATTGAGCATGAAAAGGAAACAGCTAGTTATTTTACATAATTAAGGGAGGTATTTTATTTTTGTGGGTTTTTTTTTTTTTTTTTTAAGACTGAAAGAGAAGTGAACTTGTTCACATGCTGTGGGAGATGATAGTGGAAAAAAACAGAAAAAATACTGGTGGTGGGGTGACAGTGGATAAAATAGGTTGATGAGACATTGAGATCCTAATCTTTTCAGCATAATGGATAACCTCAACCTTACACAGGAGACAGGGCCTCTTGTGCTCTGTGCATTGGAAAGGTGGTGAATACAGATCAGGGTGAAGATAATTCTGGAGGTGGTGTGTGAGGGCAAGATGAGGCCTGTACTCCTGATTACATCATTGTTCTGGGTGACACAGAGGAGAACTGATGGCGAGATTTTTGAAAATACTTTCAAAGGAATGGAAAAAAGAAAGACAACCAAGAAGTTTAAGTTTAAAGTTAGAGATCACTGATTTATAGTCACCAATCCTAGAATGATGATTTTCTCGAGTATTGTTCAGTAACACATGTGCGGGAAAAACGGTAGGTGAATATAGGCTTGAAGTCTGCCTTTGCAGGAGTGACAGAGGACAGGGGTGCAGAGAAGCTGAGACAATGAGTCCCAACTGAGCAGGGAAGGCAAGGAAGCAGGAGGGGACATTCCCTGATACTCAGGGGAAAGAATAGGGAAATGGAGGTTTGTTAATATTTGGTTGGATGGAAAGTATTAAGGAGAGTGACACTGTGAAAGAGCCTGAAGGAGGTGAGTTTGTTTTCGGAGACCAGAACACGGGGCTTACAGATTTCTGCCGTGAAGCAATTCCAAGTCTGTCCTTAGGTTAAGGAAGGTGAAGTGGAAGGGAAGATCTCCAAATGTGAGGAGGTCAAGGGACTTTAACATTAGCAGGTAGATACACATGAATATCAAAATCACTCAGGATAATAATAACACTTGAGTTGAGGAAGAAAATTCCAAGCCTGACCCAAGTTGTTGCAGACAGAGAGAAGAAAGTTATACATAATCCTGTGCTATCTCAGGTTGGTGGGTCAGGCAGCCTCCCCGGGAGAGGAGGTACTGGAAGAGTCTTAAAGAAAAGGGATGTGATATTCTTAGGGGAGACTTTCCAATATGAAAACGACGAGCAGCCAACATTCTGTTTAGGGGCTGAAAATATAAGGGAGTTTGTTTAATATGGAAAAGGAGTTTTAGAAAGCAAAGCAAAAAGCTTTGGGAGTATGAGTAAAACTCTTATGGTAAAAAAACAGAAAACAATTTAACTTTTATTTAGACTGTATTTCCCGGACTTGCCCACACATCCCTTGTTTGCACAGTACCCATTAACCTCTTACAGAAGTGGTGCTGTGTGGATTACAGCTTGGGAAACATTGGCAGAGCACTTGAGGATGGCAGGGCTGTGAAGCATTCCGCAATGGAATTGGTGCCAAGTCATGGTAAACTCAGCTCTTAAGGTATCTGGAGGGCACTGTGTGGACAAGGACAAGCCAGCTGCAAGGCCACCCAATTTGTTGAGTTTTTGTCCATAGCCATTGGTCTCTTCCACTAAGATATATTAAAGCCTATCAGGGACAGCTATAATTTCTTTGCATCTCTATGACATTTGGCTTATGCTTGAGCATATTAATAAGTGCTAAATAAATATTTTGTTTTATTGATGAATACAACAAGCAAACAAAAATTACAGCACTGTTTTTAGATCTTGCTTCCTTCTGTCTTTGTTGGAGATTTATTTTCTTTTTAGGATTAAAAAAAAATTTCCTTTTTTTAGAGACAGGGGCGCTCACTCTGTCACCCCAGGTGGAGTGCAGTGGCATGATCATAGCTCACTGCAGACTTGAACTCCTGGCCTTAACCGATCTGCCTGCTTTAGCCTCCCAACGTGCTGAAATTACAGGAGTGAGCCACCACACCTGGCCTGGGGTTTTAACTTAATATTAAATATCCCAATGTGTTGGAGTTCATTGTGAATTTTCAATAATAATTTTTACTCATACCTTTTAATATTTAATGCATCTCTGTACCTTCTCTCTTTGATATGATTTTGATAGAATGGTCCTGGACAAAGAGAGCCCACAACAGAATATTTGATATTGCTGAATACTGAAATTGATTATCTGAAGGGAATATAATAAAAAGTAGAGAATATTTGAAAAATATGTGGCTAATTTATTTATTTAAAAGTGGCCTTTTTACAAAATTAATTTAAAAATTAATTAAAAGTACAAAACCATACAAAGTTTAGCAAAAAATGTTACAACTTTCAGGAAATTCCCCTTGAGAATTGTTTAATTTTCTTATACAATACAGTAAGTGTGATTTCATATACAGAAGGTAATAAGTAAGTATAAATGTATAATAGGGGGATGTGCAGAATTTAATATTATAAACATTATGGTGCATACATAATTTACATTGTTTGTAATTACACAGAAGATCAAGAGATATGCATATATGATTGAATTTGTAAAAGTCAAAAAGCAAATTATATGAGATTCTGCTGTGGTGTATAAAAGCAAAGATATAAAATGGCTGAGAATTATAACATTTATAAAAATTACAACTTACGTAACATTATAACATTTGAAGCAATCCAGTATAGTTATAAATTATGCCTGTATTTATTGTTCTCTCCTGAGGAAGGCTCAGTGTCTATGAGAAGCCTGGGCAGTCACACCTTAGGAATCTTTACCTCTACTGCTGATACATATCTCAACCCACAGGCCTTAAAGCTTAGGTTGGTTGATTTGGAAGACTGTGTTTGATAAACCTCTGTGGAATCAAGAAAACCCTTTTATGACTCCCAGACCCTGATGCTAGGCGAGCACACTGTGTGGCCTCTTGTTTTCCTTCCACTCAATTCCCATTTGGGGTTTAAGTGAAAATATGTGCTTCTAAACTTTTCTACGATCAGGCTGAGAAGAAAAGCAGATTCTACGTAGATAAATCCTGGCATGTGTATAACAGGAAATATAGAAGACTTCTCCTCAATGGTTAGAACAGCAAAAATCTTATATTAAAATGGCTTTAGTGAACTTATATTTCTATTTTGAACATGCATATCTGAGTTTAGATTCTTGAAGTTCACAGCCATGTTCCCCATGGTGCATAGTTCACACTTCACAATTTAACATTATGAGATGTTTCAATGACCATTTTTAATTATTTAGGCTTCAAGGAGACAATCTGGAAGAAAGGACAGAAGAGTCACTACCAATGCTTCATTCTCCAGATGAAAAAATCCCAGATTCATTCGGTAAGTTTTAAGTTCAACAATATTTATTGCAGTTCTAGTGGCACTTAAACATTAAAGAAATAAAGGAAAAAAGTAAACCAGACATCTTCCTTTGCGCTGAATTCACTGTAGCTGCAGGTCACGTATCTACCACTGGCACACTCCTTGGGGCTGTTTGTGTCAGGATAAGAGCAAAGGATAGAAGGAATTGAGAAGTGTGGATTCTGAGGAGTAATCTCTTTATGCCCCTGTTCTGTTTAAGGTCCAAACAGATCAACTGTAAGTTGGCTACTCCCTATATTATGTCACTAATTCAAACTTTAGAAATCCACGTTGTCAGCTGGATTTCTAGAAAATGAAACTGTTTCTCTGCCCCTTGTCACTTGCTATACCCGCTGCTCCCATTCTCACGTCATTGATCCAGTCATTCTTCTTGGGCAGAAATGTCAATATCATACTTGACAATATCATACTCCCTCTCTCCCAGCCCTGTTTTAAATTGGTCTCCATTTATGTCAATGTCACTTCAGAATTTCCTCCCAGAGTCAGCCTCCTTTGTATTTGCCCTAATATTGCCTGGTCTATGTCTTTTCCCTCTTTCTCCATCAAGTGTAACTCCCTTCTTGGCCCTCCTTGGACAATCTCACCCCTCTTTGGTTCATTGTTTTTCTGAAAATAAAGCTGCTTATTTCATTTCCATTTTCTATAGTACAAAATGGAAATTCCTTAACTTAGCAAACAAACTTAATATCAGAGGAATTCAAAATGTTTGTTGTATATGTAAATAAGTACAAGTAATGTCACTCCAGTGCCATCTAAGGTACATCACATCTTCATCAGTCAGCGTAAGAGCAAAACACAGTCCATATATTCAACCTGGTTAGTTAGAAGATAGACTATAGGAAAGTATTTTTCTTACACCTGGATTGAGAAGGACCTCTTCAACAGTACAAAAACATCTCCAGCCATAAAAGAAATAATTGGAACATTCAACTGTAGAAAATTAAAAACTCATGTTTATCAAAAGATGCCCAAAGACGCTCAAGATTAAGATGGTGACAGGAGGCAGGACCAGATTGCAGCTCCCACTAGGACAGACAGAACAGTATGTGGAGACTCACATCATGAACTTTTGCTCCAAGAAGTACCGCAGGAACATACCAAGAAAGCCGAGAGAATCCACAGACTATTTGAAGGAAATGGACCACCACTGCAGGCTCCCTGAGATGCAAAAGTTTGTGAGTCTTCTTACTTTCTAGATGAGGAGATTCATGGTCTGGGGCAAGTTCTCAGCCCTGATCACTTGTTGCCTGGAAATAAACTCACTGCTGTTGAGGCGGCACAGTGGGTGTGAGACCAGCCTTTAGGACTATGGGCTGCCTTGGAACTGGGTGAAGCCTGTGACTGCTGGCCTTCCCCTACTTCCTCGGCAACCTGTATGACTCAGCAGAGGCAGCCATCATCTCCCTGGGAATATAACCCCATTGGACTGAGAACCACACTCCCATCCCCCACAGCAGAAACAGCAAGTCCCACACAAGAAGAGGCTGAGCTCAGACACACCTATCTCTGCTTCCACCTGGTGGTCTTTCTTTACCTGCTGTGGTAGCCAAAGACAAAGGGCATAATCTCTTGGGAACTCTATGGCCCTCCCCACCACCTAAGAAACCTGAATACTTAACCAAGTGTTCCTAGGGCAGGTTTGCATCCTCCTCATAGGGCCAATGCATTCTTGAAAGCACTACTTCCTGGCTGGAGGCCAACCAACACAAAACCAGCACACTAAACAAAAACATAACCAAAGTCCCTTACAGAGTCCACTTCACTCCCCTGCTACCTCCTCCAGGGCAGGTGGTGGCATCCACAGCTGCAAGACCTGAAAACTGATCACATCACAGGACTCTTTGCAGACCCTCCCCAGTACCAGCCCAGAGCCCGTTAGCTCCACTGGATGACTAGACCCAGAAGAGCTAAAACAATCACTACAGTTCAACTCTCAAGAAGCCTCATTCCTAGGGGAATGGGGAGAGCACAACATCAAGGGAACACACTAAGGGACAAAAGAATCTTAACAGCAGTTCTTGAATCCTACATCTTCCTTCTAACATAGTCTGCGCAAATTAGAAGGAACCAGTAAAACAATTCTGGTAATATGAAAAAGCGAGGTTAATACCCCCAAAAGATCATACAAGCTCACCAGCAATGGATTCAAATCAAGAGGAAATCTGAATTGCCAGAAAAAGAATTCAGAAGATTGAATATTAAGCTAATCAAGCAGGCATCACAGAAAGGTGAGTCCAACTTACATAAATCAAAAACATAATTCAGGATATGAAATGAAAACTCTTCAGTGAAATAGGTAGCATAAATAAAAAATAATCAGAACTTCTGGCAGTCAAAGACACACTTAGAGAAATGCAAAATACACTGGAAGGTATCAGCAATCAAATTAAAAAGCAGAAGAAACAACTCCAGAGCTCAAAGACAAGGTTTTTCAATTTACCCAATCCATCAAAGACAAAGAAAAAAGAATTTTAAAAACATGAACAAAGCCTCCAATGAACAAAGCCTCCAAGAAGTGTGGGACTGTGTTAAATGTCCAAACCTAAGAATAGTTGATGTTCCTGAGGAAGAAGAGAAGTCTAAAAGTTTGGAAAACATATTTGAGGGAATAATCAAGGAAAATTTCCCTAGCCTTGGTAGAGATCTAGAACTCTGAATACAAGAAGCTCAAAGAACACCTGGGAAATTCGTTGCAAAAAGATCATTGCCTGCGCACATAGTCATCGGGTTATCTAAAGTCAAGACGAAGGAAAAAATCTTAAGAGCTTTGAGGCAAAAGCATCAGGTAACCTATAAAGGAAAACCTATCAGATTAACAGCAGATTTCTCAACAGAAACCCAAGCCAGAAGGGACTGGGGACCTGTTTTTAGCCTCCTTAAACAAAACAATTGTTACCCAAGAATGTTATATTCAGAGAAACTAAGCTTCATAAATGAAGGAAAGACACAGTCTTTTCCAGACAAATAAATGCTGAAAGAATTTGACACTCCCAAGTCAGCACTACAAGAACTTCTAGAAGGAACTCTAAACCCTGAAACAAATCATTGAAATACACCAAAGTAGAACCTCTTTAAAGCATAAATCTCACAGGACTCATATAACAATAACACAGTGAAAAAAAACTTGGGTATTCAGGCAACACACAGCACAAAGAATAGAATACTACCTCACATCTCTATACTAACATTGAATGTAAATGGCCTAAATGCTCCACTTAGAATACACAGAATGGCAAAATGGATAAGAATTCACCAGCCAAGTTTCTGCTGTCTTCAGGAGACTCGCCTAACACATAATGACTCATATCAACTTAAGGTGAAGGGGTAGAAAAAGGTATTCCATGCAAATGGACACCAAAAGCAAGTAGGAGTAGATATTTTTATATCAGATGAAACAAACTTTAAAGCAACAGCAGTTAAAAATAAACAAAATGGAACATTATATAATGATAAAAAGACTAGTTCAACAGGAAAATGTCACAATCCTAAATATATATATATGCCTAACACTGGAGCTTCCAAATTTATAAAACAATTACCACTAGATCTAAGAAATGAGATAGATGGCAACACAATAATAGTGGTGGACTTGAATACTCCACTGACAGCAGTAGACAGGTCATCCAGACAGAAAGTCAACAAAGAAACAATGGACTTAAACTTGACAGATATTTACCAAACAGTCTACCCAACAACTGCAGAATATACATTCTATTCATCAGCACATGAAATATTCCCCAAAATAAACCATATGATAGGCCACACAACAAGTCTCAGTAAATTTAAGAAAATCAAAATTATATCAAGTACTCTCTGAGACCACACTGGAATAAAATTGGAAATCAAATCGAAAAGGAAGCTGCAAAACCATGCAAATACATGGAAATTAAATAACCTGCTCCTCAATGATCATGGGGTCAACAAGGAAATCAAGATGGAAATTAAAAAGTTCTTTGAACTGAACAATAACAGTAACACAACCTATCAAAACCTCTAGGATACAGTAAAAGTAGTGCTAAGAGGAAAGTTCATAGCATTAAATGCCTACATCAAAAAGTCTGAAAGAGCACAAACAGATAATCTAATGTCATACCTCCTGGGACTGGAGAAACAAGAACTATCCAAACCCAGAAGAAGAAAAGAAGTAACAAAGATCAGAGGAGAACTAAAAGAAACTGAAACAAAAATATTACAAAAGATAGATGAAACAAAAAATTGGTTTTTGAAAAGATAAATATAGTAAGATTAACCAAGAAAAGAAGAAAGAAGGTGCAAACAAGCTATATTAGAAATGAAACAGGAGATATTACTACTGATACCACAGAAACACATAGATTATTAAAGGCTACTATGAACATCTTTACACATATAAACTGGAAAACCTAGAGGAGATGGATAAATTCCTGGAAATATACAACCCTTCTAGATTAAACCAGGATGATATAGAATCTCTAAACAGACCAATAACAAGCTGTGAGATTGAAATAGTAATAAAAAATTGCCAATAAAAATACGTTAGGGACCAGATGAATTCACAGCTGAATTCTATCAGACAATTCAAAGAAGAATTGGCACTATTTCAAAAGATAGAGAAAGAGGTAATCCTTTCTAAATCATTTTATGAAGCCAATATTACCCTAATGCCAAAACCAGGGAAGGACATAACACAGAAAGAAAACTACAGACCAGTATCCTTGAACATACATGCAAACATCCTCACAAAATGCTAGTAAACCAAATCCAACAGAGTATCAAAAAGATAATCTACCAGGATCAAGTGGGTTTCATACCTTGGATGCAGGGATAGTTTAACATATGCAAGTCAATAAATGTAGCATAGCACATAAACAGAATTAAAAACAAAAATCACATAATCATCTCAATAAAGGCAGAAAAAGCATCAGACAAAATCCAGCATCCCTTTAGGATTAAAACCCTCAGCAAAATTGTTATAGAAG